GTATACTAGCAGGTGCGGTAAGTGAGGTCTGGGTATACTAGCAGGTGCGGTAAGTGAGGTCTGGGTATACTAGCGGGTGCGGTAAGTGAGGTCTGGGTATACTAGCAGGTGCGGTAAGTGAGGTCTGGGTATACTAGCAGGTGCGGTAAGTGAGGTCTGGGTATACTAGCAGGTGCGGTAAGTGAGGTCTGGGTTAGGTTAGGTTAAGTTAGGATTTTTCCCTATAGATTCAGATTCCTCCCTATAGATACGGATTCTTGCCTATAACTGAGAATGTTTTCCGGTATACTCTTATGGCTCCTGTACTATGAAAGAGGTTCTGTTGTTGATCACGTTCAGTACCTCTCTTCCTTCCTACCTGTTAATTAGTTCTGCAGGTGATGTTTACACAGTACCTGATAATGATTTCTAATTGGTTATTGTAATTATAATAGTTTATTTAGTCAGTAAATACAAATTGAATAACAACAGAAGAATTATTAGCATTACTGAGCCTTTGAAGTGATGTGGCAATTTGGATACGTGTTTATGTCTGGGCAGATGGAACACTGTTTATGTCTGTCTGTCTGCATGTCTGTCTGTCTGTGATTTAGGTTTATTATCAGGTGTAAGAATCGTATAATATATAGTTTGGGTAAGTTCATAATATCATGTGATTGGTTTGGATATACTGAGGATCGTGAAGTGGGATTGTGATTGTTTATGTCTGTTTTTTATTGTCTACGTAGTGATTGGCTGTTAGTCAATCTGTATATGGTAGTTTAACTTAAAGAATGTAGCAGAGAGAGAGAGAGAGAGAGAGAGAGAGAGAGAGAGAGAGAGAGAGAGACTTACGTAATATTATTCTTGTAATTTTCGTTATTTCTACTCAACAATGATAACTTAATTTGGACGGGTCATTCCATCTAAACAAACCCAAATCTGCGAAGTAAAAATAAAATGCAAAATTACTTCCATTGACTTTTTACATATGATTTCGTTTATATATTTCTGTTTCGCTTTTGTCTGATAAGTTCAACGGACAGTCTGACCGGTCTCTCTTGTTCTTATAAATATTGACAATGGAGGCGTCTTTAAGAGCTTGGGGGGGATTTCCTCCTTTTTATTCTCCAGGAGAGAGTGGAGACGGCTAGTAAGTAGAGGCCCTGAGGCATTGTAATTTTTCATCTGTTTGATGGCAGTAGCTACCTCATCCAGGGATGGAGGACAGCTGAGGTGGGTCAGCTCTGGATGCCAAGGGACATCCAGAATGGTAGTGCTCTTTCCAGTGCTGAAAGATGCCTTCTTCGTCTTAGAGAATTATCTTCGGATGAGCAGAGGGAAGCTGTGCCATGTGTTATTGGCCAATAAAATGTTTTAGTGGAATTGAAAAATTCACGAATTTTGTTGAACTGCAAGTTTTTGCTTTTCACATGTTTTATTTTTAAACCAGTCGCTCTTTAGTTTGCTAAGTTCGCGTTGGGCCACCGTTTTCTTCTTGCAGAAGGTAACGGCTTTTGTCCGAGACCGAGGGTTATTCTGCAAGTCGGTTAAAGCACCACATTTGTCACTGATGAGTATATTGATTTCCGGGTTATTTTCTTCAAACCAGTCCTGGTGTATTCTTTCGATTCTCGAGGGTCTCTCTACAGGTTTTTATCATGACAGTGTCAAGAATACCCCATTTAGTACTGGGATTTGGGTTGTTTGTCGTCGGGTTGTTTATCAGCCCACGTTCGAGCAGCTCTCTGAAAGCATGTGCTACTGCTGGACCCTCCAGACGCTTAGTGTTAAAACCTCTTCTGGAGGCCCGTTTTGGGGCGCTGTGAAGTGAGAGTTTGGTTCTGACGGACAGATGATCAGTATCGCAGTGGTCTGAGCCACGCTTGGCTCGGGTGATGAGGACATCTCGACTATCTCTTTCTCTGAGAATGATGTAGTCAATGAGATGCCAGTGTTTGGATCGTGGGTGTTGCCACGATCCCTTGAACTTGTCGGCCTGCATAAAAAGGTATTGGTGATAGTGAGGTTGTGTGCAGCACACCTGCTGAGGAGGAGTAGGCCGTTGGGATTATACTTGCCTAGTCCATTTCTCCCTATTATTCCCTGCCAAATGTCAACATCTCTGCCATCTCTGGAATTGAAGTCACCAAGGAGCACAACCTAGCCACGAGGAAGCACATCAGGAGTCTTGATAGTGAAGAGGCTGTGTACTGGCAGGGAAGACTTATGCAAGTTGCTTCCCTGTTCGCCACGAGGGCTAGCCAACGGCGGTAGCTGAGAGCGAGAGGAAGTAAGCAGTGCCTGCACTTTAACACTAACGAAATGCTGCCACACTCGATGCATTACACCACTCTGTGCGTGCACGCACGCACGCACGCACACATGATGTTCATAAACTCCTGCAACTCACAACTTAACACATTAATAAGTCGGGTTGTACACTCAACAGGCACAAACCGTAACTGATGCGTGAAAACAAAGCTCATAAAATACTTTCTCTTGTTAACTTATCATAACTGAACTCAAATGTCAATAGTATAAGAAAATATTAATTACTGTCTGAGTGAGTGTCAGGAAATCAAACTTGTTTATCCTTCCTGTGTGATGACGTAACAGTGAGCGCTCCCTGACAATGCGTTACCTGGCCATGTGTTACCTGGCCATGTGTTACCTGACCATGCATTACCTGGCCACATTACAATGGGTGTTTGTCCTCAACAGCACCCATTATATATAATTTAGACCATTTCTACTACCAGGAGGACGGTGGTGGTACTGCTTACCACGTTACCAGAAGGCGTGGACCAGAAGGCGTGGACCAGAAGGCGTGGACCAGAAGGCGAGGATCAGAAGGCTTGGTTCAGAAGGCTTGGTTCAGAAGGAGTAGATCAGAAGGCGTAGATTTTGAAATTATTGCTTCCAGCAATTTACCTACAATTGATGTTAATCTGTCTGGACAGTAGTTAGAGGATAGTGATCTATCTCCCGTCTTCAAAATCGGTATTACATTCGCTATCCTCCAGTAGTCTGGTACGACACCCGTTTTTAGTGACATGTTAAACAACTTTGCTAAGGGCATACTAAGCTCTTCCTTACATTCCTTTAGTACTCTGGCAAATATCTCATCGGGAACCTGGTCACTTATTAGGCTTTAGCTTGTCTATTTGTTTACTAACATCGTTACTAGTCACTCCTATCTCGCTTAATCTATTTTCTTCACAATCTCTGTATATAGTCGGTGCCTCGGGTATCATGTTTAAATTTCTAGTGGTGAAAGCCGTTGAAAATTATCTGTTCAGATTATTTCTCAATTTTCCATTAGCTCCCCAGTATCTGACTGTATTGGTCCAATCTTTTTTCGTGTTTTAGTTTCATACATTTGGAAGAATCCCTTGGGGTTTGACTTCGCCTCCCTTGCTACCTTCAGTTTATCATTCCTCTTTGCTTTTCTTATCTCGGTCTTAACCATACTAGCCAAAACCTTATAATAATCTCGGAGATAAACTTCACCACGATTTATTCTCCTACCTATAGCCTTCCCTTGTCCAGTAATATTCTTTAAGTAATTATTTATCCATTTAGGGTCATTGTTATTTGATCTGAGTTTTTTGTATGGTATATTCCGCCTTTGTGCATTAAGTAGGGAGGAGGATATGGGGGGACATGGTGAGGGGGGATGGGGAGGGGGACATGGTGAGGAGGGGATATGGGGGGACATGGTGAGGAGGGATGGGGGGGACATGGTGGAGGGATATGGGGGGACATGGTGAGGAGGGATGGGGGGACATGAGGAGGGATATGGGGGGGACATGGTGAGGAGGGGATATGGGGAGGGGGGCATAATGAGGAGGGGGAAATTTACAGGCACTGATATCTTGGGAGAAGGGAATAGAGTTGGGCTGTGGGAGGGCGAAGGAGGTCAGTGAAGGAGATCTTAATCTGTCTGTGCGTGTATATGTGTGTGTGTGTGTGTGTTTGTTACTTAGAACAGTCCCCAAACACCCCCAGCTTTATATACACAACCAAAACAAAAGCTGACGTAATCTACACGTGTTATGGAAGCGCTCGGGTATGATCCAATTTACTGTCAACACTGATTGGATAAGTAGGTGAAGATAATTTGATGTCGAGTGAAGATGGATCAGGTGCGGCAAAAACGGTGTTTACATGAGTCAAGGCATCAGATAAGAGACTCAACATGCACTGAGGAAGTCGATGCAATTCTGATATGAATGTAAAGGAGTTTGTGCATTAAAGGGTAAGGAGGCTTATGTTAGTTAGTTCCAGGTTGTAATGTGTTTTTGATTCTGTAAGATGTCTCCTTTCTATTGTCAGTGCATGTGTTATTAATGTGTTATTGTAAATTATATCAGGTTACGTTTATAAATGGTTCATATACTCAAGCATTTTATATCTACAGAATAAAATACAAGTTTTTGTTCGGACTGTGAACGGTACTGTACACAAAAGCAAATATATCCAGTAACAAACTTACCATAATAGAATATTTGTACAACACCTCTGTTGTTTAACTTAGATCACCTTCACTACACACCCACTGTTATGATTGAATATAGGACGTTTGGTTTGGGCCAGGGTGGCTTACCCCTAACCTAACCTAACCTAACCAAACCTCTCCCTTCCCCCCTCTCTCTCTCACCCTCTTCTCCCCTCCCTCTCTGGCCTCCTCCACCTCTCTCATCAAGTTCTCTTCCTTCCCCTGTTGTCCAATTCTCGTTTATGTTTAACTACTGAATTAGTTCCTCCATTGTTAACCTTTCCTAGTCAACGTCTCCAATTTTTTTCTCTTCAATATTCTTTCATTTTCTCTTTTTCTTTTAACAAGCTCAAGAATTTCGGCTTTCAGGGTAAGGAATTTTTGTGTGTTCATATTTTTTCAAACTTTCAACTTTGTAATATTATTTTTGAGCAGGAGTCTGCAACCCCCATTTTTGCTGAGTCACGTCTAAATTTCGGGCTATGTGGCCGGTAAGAATGTCATTATTCTTTATATTTTGGGTGAAAATAAAAAGCAAGAATAAAGCTATCTGTGACTTGTATCACTCAACTACCGCATTTGTCTGTAGGATGAGGCTGTTTGAACACAACCTGGTGCAACCAACACCTAATTTGACACACTTTGTAAGACCCAGAAAAATCACTTGGCGGCCGACAAACTCGAACAAATGGGTAAAATGCCTTCAGCAGTTGTAGAAGGAGTTCACAGATCAGTTTGCTGAGTTTCAAAGTAAAAGAACATTGTTCTTCGTCACACCAAACCCATTTCTGTTGGAAGCGGACGAGCTCGGCAACTGTCAGCCTTAAGTCGACGAAGCAAGTCTTGTTGATGCACAAATGGAACTCCTTGACTTACTGAACACTGACGTCATGAGACGCGCTCACAAAATGTCAGAGTCAGTGTTGGAGTTTTGGAAGCATGTGCAGCACAGTACATACCATCAGTCAACGTTAAAAAGAGTAGCTTACATCATTCTGTCGATGTTTGGATCAACATACTGCTATGAGCGGACATTCAGTGTGCTTACTTTTGTGAAGAACAACTACCGTTCTCAGCTCACAAGCAGCCACACCACACAACGTGTCAAGGCTGCTGCTCTAACACTTTGAACCAACTTTTTCTGAAATTGCAAATCACATACAGTCTCAACCCTCACATTAGTTCTGGTATTGTTCTGTTTATTTGAGTTTGGAATTTAAGTCTTTATTTTTCTGCACAAAAAGCAAACTTTATTTTACTTGAATATAACACTTAGAGGATTTTTTTTACCAAAGACACACACACACTCACACATATATATATATATATATATATATATATATATATATATATATATATATATATATATATATATATATATATATATATATATATATATATATATATTATTTATTTTATTTTTCAGTATTGTACTGTATACTGCAGGATATAATAGTACTTTATAAAACAATTTCCCCTGTATGTTTGTATTTCAGGAGCGAATCGTTATTAAACCGTTATCTTGTACTGCTCGAAGACAGTTCTATATTTCCATACCTTGTAAGTGCTAAAAGTTGTTTCCCTAATTTCTTTACATAATATTTAACTAGACTAGTGACTTATTGTTTCACTGCAGAATATGCAGATGCTGAAAATGAAAGGTATGTTTAGTCTTAAATATCGCTGGTAATTATAAAAAAAATTCTGGCAATAAAATATAGTCCTGCATTTATGATTTTATATTCAATTCTGTGGAACGTAATGCTGACGACTTATGTTGGCTAAGTACACCTGCGGCTGACTAGTGTATTAAGGTTGGGGACCACTGTTTTAGAGGATTTAAACATAATATAATAATAATTATTCTTACTTCTTTAAGATATTTTTTTCTTACTTTATATTTCCATTTTTTTTTTACTTCGAAGAATTATTAGAATTTTACCATGGGTTACAAATTTTAATGTTAATGGTGGATACCGTGTGGGCATTATCACTATTCGTGTATTATTGGTCAGTCTGTATTACGTCACCACCTGTACACGGTTTACTATTGGTGAGCCTGTATTACGTCACCACCTGTACACGATTTACTATTGGTGAGCCTGTATTACGTCACTACTTGTACTCATATATTAATTATTGAATCGACTGTACTACGTCACCAATAACAGTCGTAAACTATTGGTCAGTCTATATTACGTCATCACCCAATCTCGTACACTATTGGTCTATTTGAATTACGTCACTACCATTACTCGTACATTATTAGTCCGCATCGTATGACGTCAGAAGCGGTGTTGGGTTGTGATAAATGTTAGAAGATGTTGGATTTTTGAGGCGACAAGAACCTTCCACCTCTGACTTTGTTATTTTTGAGACCACCACCACCACAACCTGACCTTTTGTGTTCATTCATCCACAAAAACACACACACAAAGGCAACAGATATAATAATGAATGTATGTATGTATGTATGTATGTATGTATGTATGTATGTATGTATGTATTACGAGGTCATAATAATACCTGTCAGCTAAACGAACAATTAAAACACCGCCTCGCTTTATTAATTATTATTATTATGATTATTATTACTGGATAAACAAAAGCACACACACACACACACACACACACACACACACACACACACACACACACACACATTTACAGTAGAACAAATTGTTAACTGTCAAACACAATTATCTGTTTAGAATTCCTGTTCATTTTTTTTTTTTATTATTGCGTTTTTTTTTCTGTTGATGTTGAGGTCATGTGCAACGGTGTTTGTTTGTTTGTTTGTTTGTTTGTTTGTTTGTTTGATTGATTGTTTGTTTTCCTTCCTTAAGTAAATTTTTAAGGTTGGATGGAGGATTATCTGAAGAGCACGGAGAGAGAGAGAGAGAGAGAGAGAGAGAGAGACACCTCCAGCCTGTGTCAAATTTCCTCACTAAATCTACCAACACCTGCCTTACACCTGCCTTACACCTGCCTTACACCTGTCTACGCCCTACTTAAACCTGCCTCACGCCTGTTTATACCTACCTTATACCTGCCTTGCACCTGTTTATACCTGTCTTACACCTGTTTATACCTGCCTTACACCTGTTACACCTGCCTTACACCTGTTTATACCTGCCTTACACCTGTTACACCTGCCTTACACCTGTTTATACCTGCCTTACACCTGTTACACCAGCCTTACACCCCTTACACCTATCTTACACCTGTTCACACCTAGCTACACCTCCCTTATACCTAATCCCACTCACCCCTCATCACCTGGGCTCACACCTTAATCATTACTCACTTCCTAATCAAACAGATTCTCTGTAAGTTAAGGGATTACGTGTACTGGTGACCTTTCACCTGTGTGTGTGTGTGTGTGTGTGTCTGTGTGTGTGTGTGTGTGTGTGTGTGTGTGTGTGTGTGTGTGTGTGTGTGTGTGTGTGTGTGTGTGTGTGTGCGTGTGTGTGTGTGTGTGTATATTAAATATTTTAGATGGCAGTACTCTAACAAGGATTTAACACAAAAGAATGTTTCACCTCCTACGCCTCCCCCCTTCTTTTCTCCTCTTAATACTGAACCCCACCCCCCTACCCTCCGCTTTCTCTCTCTCTCTTTCTTCTGTCTATATTTCGCCTGTTTGTCTGTCTGTTTGTCTGTCTGTCTCTCCCTCCTTCCATATTTTCATTGAACGTGAAAAACCTCTCATTTTTTTCCCCTTACTCCTACAAATTGCCTTAAATATTCGTCTGTTTGGTCTAGGGATTTTCTCCACCCAAAAATTCCCTAACTTGCTCTATACAGCCTACAAAATTTCCCTGCCAGCCTCAATGTTTATATAAAACTTTCCCTACCTCTCCCCCGTTTCTCCCTGCCTACACCTGCCTCTATCTTCCTCTCCCATGTCTCTCTCCGTCTCTCTGCTTCTCTTTCTCTCCCCTTACCTCCATCGCTCTCTCTCTCCCTCCGTATCTCCCTCCCTCTATCCCCCCTCCCTCTTCCTTTCCTCTTTCTCCTCCCCCCCTTCCACTAACTCTCTCCTTTCCTTTCTCCCTCCTCCCCTCCTTTCCTCTTTTTCTGTCTTTCTTTCCCTCCCACCTTCATTCCATGCTCCCTCCTTCTCCCCTCCCTCCTTCCCTTCCTTTATTCTCTCCCTTCTCACTATTTATGTTTGATTTCCTCCCTCATGTTACGTAAATCCCACTCTCTCTCTCCCTCTCTCTCTCTCTCTCTCTTTTGTCCACATGTCTCAAACACTGTTTTCCCTCACCTCCTCATTCTCTTTCCTTCTTCCTGGTAATAAATTCATTTCCTCATATATAAACTCCTCTCTCCTCACTCCCCTCTCACACCCCCCCCTCCTTTCTCCCCACCCCCACACACTCTCCCTTTAGGGTAATCCGAGACTGATGTTGGCTCATCTAGTGACGTATCGTAGGTGTGTAAGCACCTGTGTTCTCTCTCTCTCTCTCTCTCTCTCTCTCACGCTCGGCTGGCCCTCAGTGCAGCCTGACGTAGACCCAGTGCGCTGCCAAAGAAGTGACTTTCAACACACCCAAATATTTTACTCTTTTTACAGCACTGATATTTTTAGAACACACACACACACACACACACACACACACACACACACACACACACACACACACACACACACGACCCAGACATTAGGGAAATATAAAATAATAGATATTGACAAGATGGGAATATCTCTTATAATAATAATAATAATAATAATAATAATAATAATAATAATAATAATAATAATAATAATAATAATAATAATAATAACAACAATAACAGATGCATAAAAAGATGAAATATTTCCAATAATAATAATAATAAAAATATTAATAAAAGAACACCAAAGACAACAACAATAACAACAACAATAATAACAACAACAATAACAACAAACAACAATAACAACAACAATAACAATAATAATAACAAAACAACAACAATTATTACAACAACAGCAACAAAAATAATAACCTGAACAGACTATGGCAACATCATACCGTTAGATCACCGGGAAAATTAATTAATAAAAAAAATCACTTTAAAATCCAAATTACGTGTATGGATGACCAATAACAATGACATTCACGTAATTATTAATTCATTCAGAAATGTTATACAAACCGCGATTGAATTTTGTTAACAATTTGGGCTCGTAAATACTGGTCGTTATGTTGTAGATTTTAATGTTGTTTTTTATACCATCAGTTGTGACATTTGTGAGTTGTATGTTAATATAATCTCATTGGTTATTGATCTGTCTGTCTGTCTCTAACCATCAGTAGCCACCACACCCACACACTACTACTTAGCTGTCATTCCGATCGAGTATGACGATCATCCAGCTATGATACAATGATATGAGCTATTAAGGATGTCACCAACGTTGGTGAGCTCTGAGGTGACTAAAGAGGCTGATACAGGACCGTCAGTGCCGTCCACAGATGTTGCACATGTGGAGGGCTATATCTAGTGCGGGAGGGGCGGCAGAAGCGTCTTTCCGGCGTTGGCGCTTGTGTTCCTCGGTTTCCAGTCGGGCTAACTCGAAAGTATTGACACCTTCTCGTGAAGTGCTCCTCCAAGCGTTAGGGTGTGGAGTAATCGTCTCACAGGTGACCGTAAAGTAGCTGCTTTGGCAGTCTACGGTCGTCCATGTTGGTAACATGGCCAGTCCAACGTAGTTGTTCATGGATAATGGTAGCCTCGATGCTCCTACAGTTCATGTCACCGAGAATACTGTCATTTGTTCTCTTGTATTCCAAGCGAACTCGGAGGATGGATCGTAGACTACGTTGGTGAAAGTTTTCAAGTGCCTTGAGGTGCCTCCTGTATGTGACCCATGTCTCGCTGCCATAGAGCAGGGTGGGGAGGACCACTGCTCGATATACGTGCAACTTTGTAGATAATTTCAGCTCCCTACAGCCGAAGACACGGGTACGGAGTCTGCCAAAGGCTTGAGATGTATATCTGATCCGATGTTGAATCTCTTCATCGATGTCCTCGGTGGTGGACAGGTGGGAGCCAAGATACTGAAAGTGGGTAACTTTAGAGAGTGTAGTACCGTTCAGCTGGATGAATGGTGGAGGTGTGATTGAACTAAGGGCAGGCTAAAAGAGAATCTGAGTCTTATTTATATTCACCTCAAGGCCGAAGTGTGCATACACATCTGCGTAGGTGTTCAGGAACTCCTGTAGGTGGCGTTCATTGTGAGCGACAAGTGTCAGGTCGTCTGCTTACTGAAATTCAGTAATGGAAGCTGCCGACACCTTTATTTCAGTCTGGAGTCGTCTAATGTTGATAAGTCCCTTCATCCGGTACTGGATGTCCACCCCGCCGGCTAAACTGGCACCGGCACGAGTAAAGAAGGCAGCCAAGAACATGGAAAAGAGAGTTTGGATGGGGAATAGCTCAGACTGGGTGCTATTGTGCAGGACTCTGCCGTTCATGACACCGCGGAGTTGCCTCACAATGGCAACGAATTTTGGTGGGAGCCAAAAAAGCTGATGGTCCGCCAGAGGGCTTCCCTGTTGACCGAGTCGAAGGCCTTGGTAAGGTCGATAAAGGCCATGTACAGGTCACGACGCTGTTCTCTGCACTCTTTCTGTATCTGGCGGGCAGCAAAGATCATGTCAGTGGTGCCACGTGATGGTCTAAAGCCACATTGAGATTCTGGGAGGAAGTTTTCCGCCTCAGGAAGAAGTCTGCTAAGGAGGCCTAGGGCGATAATCTTGCCAGCTATGGACAGCAGCGGGATCCCTCGGTAGTTCTGAGTGACATCAAAGTAGTATGTATGGAAGTAACCCTCCCTCCCTCACTCTCTCTAACCTAACCTTCCAAGCTTCCCCTACCCCTCTCCTTGTAATGTTATATAAGGGAGAGTTGAGCCACAGAGAGAGTGAGAGTGTAGGGGAGAGGTAGAGTATTTGTTTACCTTCAGCTCTCCCAATAATGGCTTCTTAATGGCGACTTAATGAAGCTTAATTGTGCAACTTCTTGACTCAGTGTTGAGGGAGAGGGAAAAAGGTGATTAAATAACTGCGGTAATTATCCCTCAGTAAGTTACCTGACTTTTTACTTTACCTGCTAATAAATGGCTTCTGTTTTGAAGTAGTATGTGTTTTGATGTCCTTTTTATATATTTTTTTACTCTCTCTTTCTCTCTATCTTCCTCCCTTTATCCCTTATTCTCTCTCTTTTTCCTTCTCTTCTTTCCCTACTTCTCTTTTCCCTTAATTTTTTCCTCCCTCCTTCTCTACCTCGTCCCTCTTTCTCTCACTCCATCTCTCTCTACACTATCTCTCCACAAGAGCATATCCTTTCTCCTTCCCTCCGTCCTTTCCTCCCCCCTTCCTTCTTTCCTAACTCTCTCCCTCCTTTCCTCTCTCCCCCCATTCTTTCCTCCCTCCTCTTTCCTTACCTCCACCCCCCACCTCCTTTCTCCTTGTACCTGCCTCCTTCTTCTGTTGGCTAAGATCCCCACTTCTTTTCCCCTATCTTCTTTCTTTTATTTACTTCCCCTTCTTCCCCCTCCCCCTCCTCCTTCCCCCCCCACCCTCCTTCCTCCACCAATCACAGTATCAACAGAGAGCATCCCACTATTCCGGTCACTCCAGCCTTTATCCCGGCTTGAGAAGAGGTCACGTCCTCCAATCAGAACGCCTGAAAAGCCCCTTTGTTTGGGTTCCCAGTTTGTGTGTGTGTGTGTGTGTGTGTGTGTGTGTGTGTGTCCCATGAGATAAGAAATAACCTAAACAAGATTATGATGATGACAAAGAAACATACATACATACATACATACATACATACATACATACATACAAACTGATCAAGTACAAGCGGCAGAGTGAGGATTGATACACAAGAGGTGTTATGAGCGAGGTGATTGAACTGCTGTTTGAGGGAGGGCATTGAAGAGGTCCTTTACGGGGGAGATCTGGGCGGTTCTGGGGGATCTCTGGGGGTCCTTTTGGGTTCTCTGGGGTGCTCTGGGGTGCTCTGGGGTGCTCTGGGGTCCTCTAGGGCGTTCTGAGGGTTCCCATGGGGGTTCTCTGGGGGATCTAGGAGTCCTCTGGGGGATATGGGAGTCCTCTGGGTGGCCTGGGGTACTCTGGGGGCCTCTGGGGGTTATGGGGGTCCTCTGGGGTCCTTTGAGGGCTACACAACATAGTTTATGACCTGTTGCCACCAAAGGGTTAATTAAGGTGGTTAAGGTATTGTCTTGTTCACCTGTTATTAGTTGTTGTTGACAGCCGCCTCTCTCTCTCTCTCTCTCTCTCTCTCTTCACTCTCTTCTCTCTCTCTCTCTTTCTCTTCCTAAGGGTTTGTGTATAGACATGTGTGTGTTTCTTTATGTATGCACGTCTTGTTTGGAACGCTTTTACACAACACACACACACACACACACACACACACACACACACACACACACACACACACACACACCAGAGGTCAAGACGTACCTGGCGCTCCTCTCAGGGCAACCAGGTCAACTGTAGATTGGCCCATACCAACTCCCTCCCCTGAACCCTCCTCCCCGGAATATCAACAATTCATGAGAAGTTACCATTTCATTTAGGAAGGAATGGAACCAGTGTTAAACAGAGGTGAACAGTGGTGAACAGTGCTTAAGTCAGTGAGAACAACTCAACAGTAACAGTGGTACCCAAGTTAACCTTCACACAGTGAGGTCCCAGGTACCCAGTGATAACGGCCCGTGAGACCCAACAACCAGCGATGTGTTAATCCGTCTACGATAGGAACCACTAGACCACACTACTACACCACGTGAGGCCTCATAACACACCATCTGTGAGAATTACTACACCAGGAGCCCTCATAACACCACATTGAGGAATTACTACACCCGTCATAACACCATTGAGGAATCTGAGGCCTCATAACACCATCTGTGAATTACTACACCACGTGAGGCCCTCATAACACCATCTGTGAGGAATTACTACCACGTCTCACACCATCTGTGAGGGAATTACTACACACACACGTGAGGCCCTCATAACACCATCTGTGAGGGAATTACTACACCACGTGAGGCCCCCATAACACCATCTGGGGAATTACTACACACACGTGAGGCCCCTCATAACACCATCTGTGAGGGAATTACTACACCACGTGAGGCCCCTCATAACACCATCTGTGAGGGAACTACTACTACCACCACGTGAGGTCCCTCCTAACACCATCTGGGAGGGAGTTACTATCCCTCATTAACACCATCTGTGGGGAATTACTACACTACCAGTTGCTAACACCTCACATTGTTCCGTATTTCACTGTATGTTCCTTACCTTTCTCTAATGAAGGCTTTTGTTAAACCACCAATGTATGTAATAAGTCATTTATGTCCAATGTATATTTTCAGCCTTGGACTGCAGAACTTTCAATAAACCGTTAATTATTATTATTATTGTGTACACACACACACACACACACACACACACACACACACACACACACTTGTTGTAAGTATTATTCATTTTCCACCATACAAATTTAAAATTCTTAAATGAATTATGTTGATGTAACATGGAGTTTACACACAGCAGGAGGGGAGGGGAGGGAGGGAGGGAGGGAGGGAGGAGGGGAGGGAGGGAGGAGGGAGGGATAGGAGAGGGAGGAGGAGGAGGGAGGGGGAAGGAAGGGGATTAGAAAAAAGGAGGGAAGGATAGATGAAGGGAGGGATAGCTGAGAAAAGGGAGAGATGGAGGGGTTGATGGTCCTCTCCACCACTGTTCCCTTCACCTCCATCCTTTCTCCTTCTTCCCTTCCCCTTCCTCCCTCCTCTTACCCTCACTCCCCTCACCCTCCCCTCATATACCTCCTATCCCCTTCCTCCCTCCTCACCATCTTTCCCTTTCTTCCTTCCTCGTCCCTCCTCCCCTACCCCTCTCCCCCCTAACCTCCCCCTCCCTCCCCCTCACCTCTGGGATGTCACAGTACTGCCAGTAGGTCTCTCCCCACACACACACACACACACACACACACACACACACACACACACACACACACACACACACACACACACACACACACACACACACACCCTGTACTCTCATAAAAAAAACCCACACAAATGGTTTTTGTCCGGCTCAGCAGGTTTTACTCACTCTGCCAAACATGCATAAAAACCTGTAATTTTCCAAAATCTGAGGCTGCGAGTCGCCTTCGTTTGTTTTATGCTGTGTTTTATGTTGTGTTTTTATGGTATTTTTCCTGGTGTTTTAGGGACAAAATGAACTGGTTTTATGTAGGAAGGTGAAATGACTCGGTGAATGATGATGATGATGATGATGATGATGATGATGATGATAAGTACGATAATGATAAACACACAATAATAATACTCTTTCCCTCCTCATATTCCCACCCACTCTCCCAATCTAATTCCACCCCCACCTCACATTCCCACTCAAGTCGCCCTTATCCCACGCACTCATTTTCTCCCACCACCCTACCTCACATTCCCACCCACCCACTCACTCTCCCACCCACCACATCCCCACCCACCCACCCCACCCACCTCCACCCACTCACCCCCTCCCCACCCACTCCCACCACCCACCCACTCACCTCCACCCACTCACATTCCCCACCCACCCACCACTCTCTCCCACCCACTCACTCACACCCACCCACCTCACTCTCCCACCCACTCACTCACCCACCCACTGCCTCTCCCACCCACTCACATTTCCACCCACCCACTTACCTCCACCCACCCACTCACACACCCACCCACTCCACTTCCCACCCACCTCTCACATTCCCACCCCACCCACTCACTCACCCACCCACTCACTCACCCACCCACTCACTCTCCCACCCACTCACTCACCCATGGCACACCTGTTATTACGCCTACCTGCACAATTAGCCTCGTCAACACACACCCACAACTATTTCAGGCGGAGGTACAAGGTGCTTCTGTCTACTGGTGTCTCGTCTTGTTATCTCTCTCTCTCTCTCTCTCTCTCTCTCTCTCTCTCTGCCACACACACACACATACACTCTAAACTATCATGAGGCGTCGCACCATCCCTTCCTCAGTAGTCTCTTTACGACAACATTAAACTGATCGTCAATTACCTGACCACAACACACCTACCAGAGAGAGAGAGAGAGAGAGAGAGAGAGAGAGAGAGAGAGAGAGAGAGAGAGAGCGTGCGTGGGACAGAGAGTGAGAGGTG